CAACCTCAAACGAGCACCAAGAAGTTCAAAAGGAATTGCTACAATTGTGGTAAATCTGGGCATCTTGCGAAAGATTGTCATCTCCCGAAGAAGGGTAAAGATAGCACACATATAGCCGAGAATAAATCTGTTCCCATTGACTTATCTGAGCTCGATCTAACCGCCGTGGTCCAAGAAGTTAACTTGGTTAATAATCCACGTGAATGGTGGGTCGATACGGTAGCAACTCAGCATATTTGTGCAGATAGAGATATGTTCTCGTCTTATACCCCTACCGACGGAAGGAAACTAATCATGGGCAACTCTTCGACATCAAACGTCGTGGGAACGGGAAAGGTGGTGCTGAAAATGACTTCGGGCAAAGACTTGACGCTAACGGAAGTGCGGTATGTCCCGGACATCCGTAAGAACCTTGTATCCGGTGCTCTTTTGAGCAAAGCCGGTTTTAGATTAGTCTTTGAGGCCGATAAATTTGTAATGACTAAGAATGGTGTCTTCTTAGCGAAAGGTTACCTAGATGAGGGTATTTTTAAGATGAATGTAATGAATGTTATCCGCCAAGAGGTGAAGAATAAAGAAAGTATTTCTTATTTGTTGGAGTGTTTTAATTTATGGCATGATAGATTAGGACATGTGAACTTTAACACAATTAAAAATTTGATGAATTTGGAATTGATACCAAAAGTTAAAATTGATTCACACAACAAGTGCGAAACATGTGTTGAAGTAAAAGTGGCTAAAACACCATTTAAACCGGTGAAGAGAAGCACTAGTCCACTCGAGTTAATTCACACTGACATATGTGATTTAAAATTAGTGCAAACTCGAGCGGGGATGAAGTATTTCATTACATTTATAGACGATTGTACAAGGTATTGTTATGTTTATCTACTAAAGAGTAGAGACGAGGCATTAGAGGCCTTTGAGACATATAAAAATGAAGTTGAAAATTAACTTAGTTGAAAGATCAAAGCGATTCGAAGTGATAGAGGAGGCGAGTATGTAGACCCGTTTGAAGTGCTCTGCAAAGAGTCCGATATTGTTCATCAAACGACGGCTCCGTATTCATCGCAATCTAATGGAGTGGCCGAGAGAAAGAATCGAACACTAAAAGAGATGATGAATGTACTTTTGATAAGTTCGGGCTTACCCCAAAACTTGTGGGGGGAAGCGGTTCTTTCGGCAAATTATATTTTGAACAAATTACCCCACAAAGGTAACGACAAAATGCCATATGAGTTATGGAAAGGTCATAGACCTACCTACAAATACTTAAAAGTGTGGGGGTGTTTGGCAAAGGTTGAAATACCTAAACCGAAACAAGTGAAAATTGGACCAAAGACTATTGATTGTATATTTATTGGTTATGCAAACAATAGTAGTACTTATCGATTTTTGGTGCACAAATCAGAAATTTCGGAGATTCATAATGGAACAACTATTGAGTCTCGAAATGCGGTGTTCTTTGAGAATATTTTTCCTTGTAAAGACAAGGAAGAAATAATTCCGAGAAAAAGGACATTTGAAGAGGCCAAGCTACCTCAAGAAATTGAGGATGAGCCAAGGCATAGTAAGAGAACAAAAGTACCTAAGTCTTTTGGTCCTGAATTTCTAACTTATGTGTTAGAAAACGAACCGAGAACCATTCGAGAGGCTTTGACAAGTCCGGATGCTCCTTTTTGGAAAGAAGCTATCAATAGTGAGATTGAATCCATTTTGCACAATAATACTTGGGAGTTGGTTGATCTCCCACCGGGTAGCAAACCTTTGGGATGTAAATGGATCCTTAAAAGGAAGTATAAAGCTGATGGAACTATTGATAAATATAAGGCCCAATTGGTTGTAAAAGGGTTTAAGCAAACAGAGGGATATGATTTCTTTGATACGTATTCTCCTGTAACTCGAATCACGTCTATACGTGTTCTCATTGCAATTGCTACAATTGCATGACCTTGAGATTCATCAAATGGATGTGAAAACGGCCTTCTTAAATGGAGACCTCGAGGAGGAAATTTATATGGAACAACCCGAGGGGTTCGTAGCACCTGGAAAAGAGAAAAAACTGTGTCGCTTGGTTAAGTCGCTTTATGGGCTAAAACAAGCACCTAAGCAATGGCACGAAAAGTTTGACAAAGTGATATTGTCGAACGGATTTAAAATCAACGAGTGTGACAAATGTGTCTATATTAAAGGTAACGTCGATTCATTCGTGATCGTATGCCTGTATGTTGATGACATGTTAATCTTGAGAAAAAATAATGATTTAATTCTTAGTACCAAGAAAATGTTGAAAAATAATTTCGACATAAAGGATATGGGAAAAGCCGATGTAATCTTAGGGATTAAAATCTCTAAAAGTTCGGAAGGAGTAATCTTAGGGATTAAAATCTCTAAAAGTTCGGAAGGAATTGTTTTGTCACAATCCCATTATGTCGAAAACATCTTGAAGAGGTTCAATGCATTCAATAAGCCTCCAGCTAAGACGCCTGTTGATTTAACTCAACACTTAGCTAAAAATCGAGGTGAACCAGTGTCTCAACTAGAATATTCACGAGTAATTGGGAGTTTGATGTACTTGATGAATTGTACTCGCCCCGATATAGCATATTCTGTGAGTAAACCGAGCAATGACCATTGCAATGCACTTATTCGGGTACTTAGGTATTTGAAACATACCTTGAGTTATGGAATAACATATACGAGGTATCCAGCGGTACTTGAAGGGTATTGTGATGCGAATTGGATATCCGACACAAAAGACTCCAAGTCCACTAGTGGTTTTGTGTTCACTATAGGTGGAGGAGCGGTGTCATGGAAATCTTCTAAGCAAACGTGTATTGCTAGATCCACGATGGAGTTCGATTTTATATCCTTGGACAAAGTCGGGGAAGAAGCTGAATGGCTTAGGAATTTTCTTGAAGATATTCCATGTTGGACAAAACCGGTGCCCGCTGTAATGATACATTGTGATAATCAATCGGCAATTGGAAGGGCACAAAGTAGCTTGTACAATGGTAAGTCTCGACATATACGTCGAAGGCATAATACAATAAGACAAATGATCTCGAGTGGGGTTATTTCGGTTGACTACGTGAAGTGAAAGGAAAACCTAGCGGATCCGCTTACTAAAGGCATTAATCGAGATCAAATGTACAAGTTGGTTAGGGGAATGGGATTAAATTCACAACATAAGAACAGTCTTAGCGGTAACCCAACCTTGAGAATCGGAGATCCCGAAACCTTGGTTCAATGGGAAAACTAAGTTTTGACAGTTCAGTGAAACACTTGAAAGTTTCACCCATTCCCAAGAACCGTCAAGTGTTAAAATCTGCCTAAGTGGTGAGGTTATGTCAAGGACTTTTAATGATTCCTATACCTACGGGTGAAGTAAGGCAGAATACTCTTTATAGGAGAATCACCTTTGTAAGTGAGAAGTAAATTGGCCGCTTCAACGAACACTTACTAAACCGAGATATGATCCAAGGCCGAAATGGACACAACGTGAGAACAAGAAATTGTTAGAGCTGTTATTGTGTGAGTATTATTGTCTTGGTGCACGCAAACAGCCGGTATGTTCAAAGCATCGCGCTACTAACCGGCTAGTGTATCCGATAGTATTTCACTAAGAAAGATTCAAAGCCACAAGCTATCTATCCTGATGCAATGATGGTTCGCTGGAACTCTCAAGTATTGCATACATGCATTAATTTCATTCATGTGGGGGATTGTAAGAAAAAATTGGTTTTGTACCGATTTAACGATTCTATTTTTCGTAAGTAGAATACTTAGAAAAGCCTCAAAACCTTTTTAAGGTGAATGAGAAATTAATTCTAAATGTTGTATTTTAATTAATTGAGTTTAAACAACTCAAAAGGTTGTAGGGTTCACAAATATTATATTTTAATAAATGTTTAGATAAACTAAACGAGCCATAAATATGCATTATGTATGCTAGAATTGTAGAGGGGCTCGTTGGGGACAAGTAGGAAAAAAACGGAACTCGATTCCGAGTCCGTATGAGCTCGTACGAGCCCGCGGCGCACGGGCGCACAACTGGCTGCGGAAATCGAAGAGTTGCAACCCTTGGTGACCATAAGGTATCTTTTGGCCACTAGATACATCCGTTCTTGTTCGGGCACGTCCCAAAAGGTGTCTTTTGACACTTAAACCTCTTGGAGGTGTCTCCTTACATCTATAAATATCCACTAACATGAAATCATTTGAAACATCAAATTATTCCACAACCTTTGCATCCTTTTTACAAAGTTCATATTCATCTTGTGTTCTTTGTGTTCTTTCCTATCTTGAGAGTTCCGAAACTTAAGTATTGTTCGCCGAAGGTTTGTGTATTTGAGTTACCACTATACACAAATCAAAAGTCGTTGTATCTTGGAGGCGTTAGCCGTGAACCGTGGGTAATATACGGGGTTATTTCGTCTTAAGGAGAGCGTATCTTACGTGCCTCGACTTTGTTCGTTTTACCAAAATTCCTTCTATTTCTTAAAGTCATTTTCTTGAAATTCACATACAAAACAACAATTGTAAACTACAAATATTTTTTTTAGTGAAGCAAGTAGGGAAGTTTTGCTTCATTCAGTTATAGGGGCTCTGCCCACTTTTGTAATGTCTTGTTTTTGGATTCCTCTAGGAGTTTGTAAGGAATTAAACAGACTTTCTGCTGCTTTCTAGTGGAGTTCAAAGGAGGGAGGGGTCAGAAGATTCGTTGGGCTTCTTGGGGAAAGCTGACCAAGCCCAAGGATGAAGGTGGATTGGGCTTCAAATTCTTAGTCATCTTCAAATTCGTTGGACTTTCTGTTCTGAGTAATCTTTTTAATATAATCTCTCGTCCGTTAAAACTAAAAATTAAAAAAATATATATATATATAATAAAAAGAAAATGTCCTTATTTCTAATTACGGCCATATTTGAAATAAAAAATGCAACATATGATGAAAGACAATACATCCCGAGCAATGAAGATTATTAATTAATTGATTAATTTATATATTTTTGGAAACTGTGGGAACCAAAAACAGGCCATTCTTTCTAGCGACGGTAATCCCCTCAGATTCGGTCATGTCTATATCAAGGGCCCTCATACCCTCAGGCATCCTCCAGTCAAAATGGTACAAAAGCTGAGCCAACGGCAGCTCCACGTTTGCCAGCCCGAAGTTCATCCCCGGACAAATCCTCCGACCCGCCCCAAACGGGATGAACTCGAAGTTATTCCCAAGGAAATCCACCGAACCATTTTCGAATCTCTCCGGCTTGAAGCTATCGGGCTCGGCCCAGTACTCGGGATCCCGGCCCATAGCCCATATGTTGACCATGATCTTGGACCTGAGTGGGATGGTGTAGCCGTCAACCTCGCAGTCGTCTCTGCATGCTCGGGGGAGCAGTGGGATCGGAGGGTGCAGTCTGAAAGTCTCCTTGATCACTAGTTTGAGGTATTTGAGAGCTTGAACGTCGGTTTCTTGGATGGTCGTCTTTTCCTTGAAAGCCTCTCGTATCTCGGCCTGCACTTTGGCCATCACTCGTGGGTGTCTCATCAGCTCGGCCATGGCCCAGTCAATGGTGGTCGACGATGTTTCGGTTCCCGCCGTGAACATATCCTGTTTTTTGGTATCAATCAATCTCAATGATGATGACTATAACACGAACTAAAACACAATAGAATCAAGGAGGTGCGCGTGCATGCACTTACAAAGATGATAGCTTTTATGTTGTCGTCCGTAATCGGGAACTGGAGCTCCTCATTCCTCTGCATCCTGAGCAACACATCCACAATATCCTCCCCACCAAACTCCCCACTCTTCTGCCGCCTGTGCTCGTCTACGAACCCGTCCAGAATCCGGTCGAGCTCCCTTCTCATGCTCAGCAGCTTGTACTTGTTCCAGCTCAGCACGTGCAGCAGCCTGAACGATGGGAATAGGTCTGCCAGCTCAAACCCTCCCGCCAACGCCATCCCCTTCTTCATCAGTGAGATCAGCGAGTCCCGGTCGCGCATCACCTTCCCAAACGCCGCCCGGCACGTGATTGTGCTCGTGAAGGTGAACACCCGCTCGGTCAAGTTGATGGCCCGTCCGGAGTCTGACCGAAGGTCTGCGACGAGACGGTCGACCTCGTCCTGGCGGATTGACCCGAAGGACTTGACGTTGCGGGCGCTGAGGAGCTCGAGGATGCATATCTTGCGCATCTGGCGCCAGTAGTCGTTGTACGGGCTGAAGGCGATGTCGGTGTAGTTGTACCACATGATCTGGGTCCCGATGCTCTGGGGCCGGTCAGCGCAGGCCGGGTCGTGGGTCTTGAGGGTTTGCCGGGCGGCCTCGCGGGAAGAGATCACAACTGTCTCGACCTGGCCCAGCGAGAGGCGGAGGACGGGGCCGTATTTCTGTGTCACGCGGCGGAGGGCGTGGTGGGGTGGGCTGCCGACCAGGAGGTGGAGGTGGCCGACGATGGGAAGCTTCGGGGGGATCGGGGGAAGTTTTCGGGTTTTCGTGGGGGATTTAGGGGTTCTTAAGAGTTTGATGAAGAGGAAGATGAAGGAGGAGAAGAGGAGGAAGATGGCCAGGTTAATTTCCATTTTTTTTTCTATTTTTTTTCTTTGATTGGGTGTTTGTTGATGGGATTTTGGGGCTATGTTTTGCATGTATTTATAGGAGGGAAAAAAATGTTAAATAAATGAGCATGTGGAGGAAAATTGGGTTATTGAATCGAATTAATTTGACTAATAAATATATTAAGATTACTGCATCCATTTTTTTCTAATGTGGCGTGCAGTCAGTCATCCAGAGTGCACTATTAGATACGCCCAAAATTGAATTTTGCAGTTGTTATGGTAACTATCCGTTTCTTGTCGTTGTGTTTGATTGAAATTATCATAGTTTTTCAATATTATTTACTAGGGCCGGTTGATAAATATTCCGATCAAAATTGTTACAAAAATAGGGCTAGGCGGAACCAGCTAGCGTGCCTGATTTCCGTCTAGGCCCGCTCGACAATTAGGCGCCGCCTAACATGTCTAAAATGATTAAGCGGTCTAGGCAGCAATTTTGGCGATCCAGGGGCTACTCACTCGTATAAATAGTTTTATATTTTTTAAAATTTACTTTTAGAATATATTATAATAAGATAAAATTTAGTTTTTATACACGAAATGTATAATTATTACGAAATTATAAAATATTAATAATAATGCAAAGTTAATATTTCAAATTATGAACATATAATTTTTATAAGAATCTTTAAATAGAATTAGTATGTTTTATAAAATGTATTTCGTAAGTTATGTATGATTATAAATAAATTTAGTAATATTTTATGGCTATGTCTACGCTATATCTAATTTCTAACTATGTAATCTTGGCGCTAGTCCTCAACCTGCCTCCTAATACATTACAGAACTTTGCCAATGATAAAAAATTGGTACAAGTAGGCCTGAGAAAGGATTCGGAGAATTCTAGGACTCGGATAATTCTAAACCATTACGAATATCAAATCGAATTCACTCTGAATCGAAAATTAAATATTTATTTTTTATTTTTTATTTTTAAAACAATAGATTTTATAGCTCCAACCGAAAAATAATTACAACTGAAGGCTAAAAAGACTACAAGCGTCCCGAAAAAAAAATAAAAGAGAAAAAATTAATAATTACTATGATGAACACAACTAACAAGTGCCCTAGACAGAAAAAAAAACAAAAAAAAAAATATAAGAGAATGAAACTCTAACTAACTACCAAATCACGTGAAAAACCAATTCGTTTTCCCAAAAATCTTACTCCACCAAGATTTTCAATGGCTAAATATAAAAGTACAAAGGAAGCCCTATAAAACAATCTACATCAAATCTCCAAGATACTAAAATCTATCTATACTAAAAATACAATATTCACAAAATCACTTTAACACCCCCTCAAGTTGGAGCATGCGGATTTCGAATGCCCAACTTGCCAAGAAAAAAATCAAACTCGCGTTTTCCTAAGGCTTTGGTGAAGATGTCCGCCAATTGAGAATGAGTAGAAACATGAGCGGTAGAAATGAGACCTTGAACAAGAGCATCATGAAGAAAATGGCAATCGACTTCAATATGCTTCGTGCGCTCATGAAATACAGAGTTAGCAGCAATGTGCAGAGCTGCTTGGCTGTCACAATGAATCTGCATGGGTTGAGAATGACGCCAAGACTGTCAAGCAAACCCTTCAACCACTTCAACTCACAAGTAAGGGTCGTCATAGCTCGATACTCGGCCTCGGCAGAAGACCGGGCTACAGTGTGTTGTTTCTTGGTGCGTTAAGAAAGGGGTGAATGGCCAAGCTGTACAAACACTACAAGAAATATGAGTTTTACCAACGGAATAATCCGTTGCTAATCAAATTTTCCAACAGAATGCCAACAGTTTACCAACAGATTTTCTTGTTGCTATGTGTCTTGTTACTAACTTTTGCCAACAGAAAATACAATCCGTTGGGAAAATTTCCAACGGATTGCCAACAAATTAGCAACGGAAATGCTTCATGAGATTGCTAAGGGATTCTCAACAAAAAATAGAGTTGCTAAATCATTCCGTTGGCAAATCACTAACGTAAAGCCAACATATTAGTTACGAATATACCAATAGGTTACCAACAAATTTTTCCCAACGGATTACCAACAGAAATTTCACAACGGATTGCCAACAGAATATTTTTTTCCAACGGATTGCTAACGAAAATTTCCTAACAGAATTTTCCCAATGGATTGCTAACGGATATTTTTCCCAGTGGATTACCAAGGGATTTTTTTTTCCCAACAGATTACTGACGGAATTTTTTGCCCAACAGATTACTGACGGAATTTTCCCAACGGATTACTAACGGTTTTTTAGCAACAAAAATTTTTGACCCAACTTGAAGGCTATACAACCACCTGACCCACCTTGACCCACATGGCTCACAGTGAGCCCATAACCATCCACCAATATAATCCTTACTAATTCTCTCAATTCTCACAACACTAGGGCTTGAACTCAAGACCTCTTGCATGTTAAAAAGGTAGCACCCCCGCTAGGCTATATTAATGTATGATACATGATTCTACAATTCTTATTTTTATCAACCATGTAAATTATATAAAATAAGAATTGTGGAATATAAATTATATTTTTTTATATTCATTAAATTTCTATATTATTTATGCTCCAACCGTTTAATTATATTTGGTGTTTTTTTTTTTTTAATATGTTTAATTATAAAAATAGTGACTGTATATATAAGTATCTACAAATTTATGACATTTATAAATGAACTAGTATGAATCTCTTGCGACGCACGGGTAAAAAATATGTATTAAAATTTATAAATTAAAAATACTCATGAAATAATATTTGTAAATAAAAAATATGGAATCAGTATTTAATACAATTTACGCATATTAATTTATTAAAAATGTTATATGAAATTTAAATTGTGCAAAATTACATAAAATATGTCTATTTAAATTACTACACAACTTGTACGATGCACTAATTGATAATAAATTATATTAGATTCATTTCCAAACAGGTGTCATTTTAAATTTTTTATTTTTAAATTCGATTTGGCTACAATGTGATTCCATAAAAGAAAATATTTTGGTAAAATTTTATCATATATTTTAATATATATATATATATATTTAAGTATAATTATAAAACTTATATTGTTTAGTTAATTAAAATAAATTTATTTTTGTATAACTATCCAAATCAAAAAAATTAAGTAGTTGAATAATTTATTAAACCATAAATAATAAACTATTTCATTTACGTTCAAGTTAATATTGACCCGTAAGTTATGAATAATTATTTATTTGGCTTTTAGATTTGAAACTCAAATTTGGACTACACAATATTTTTTTTATATATATGTATATATATATACACACACAAGCGTTATCGTTCAAATTTCTAGATTTGTTGTCGGTCACGTTATCCTTCAAATTTATCACCGCGTTAAATAATGTTTACAAATTTAAAGTATGGAATAAATATGTTATATGATTTACCTATATTAATTTATTGGTAATGTTATATAAAATTTAAATTGTGCAAAATTACATAAAACGTGTATATTTAAATTAATACGCAACTCGTACGGTGCACTAATTGATAATAAATTATGTTATATTCCTTTGAAATAAGTTTGTCATTTTTTTATTTTTTTTCTGAGATCAAAAGAAAATATTTTGGTAAACTTTTATCAGATATGTAAATATCTATATAAATAATAAGTACAATTATAAAACTTATATTGTTTAGTTAATTAAAAGAAATTTATTTTTGTATAAACTATCCAAATAAAAAATTTAAGCAGTTGTGTAATTTAATAAACTATAAATAATTAACTATTCCATTAATGCTCAACTATAAATTATGTAATAGTGATTGATTTTATTTCTAATTATAGTAATAAATTAAGAAGAAAAATATAAATTTTGATGAATCTGTTTAAATACTTTTAAATTAATTACATAACTAAATATATTAAGGTATATTAAATATTTATCTATACTTATATTAAAAGCCATACTATTTACCAAAAATAGTAGCAAGAAAAAGTCAACTCACATTTAATGCATACTTTATTTGGA